TTTCCCTACCTCCACAATGCAGTGAGACGGAGAAATAGATGTGCTTTGTCTCAGCACTTCCCTGAGGAATTGCAGTGTGCCTGATACCAGGAGCACAGGAGCAGCCTGGGGAGGGTGTTGGCACTGCCTCCCCCAATCCGCTGGCCCAGCTTGGCTCTCCACACCACCACCACCAGTTCTGCAGCACCCAGAGGCTATGGAGTCATGGACTGAATTGTGCCTTAACTCCACTGGGCTGTTTCTCTGGGGTTCTTTTGGCTCCTGCCTGTGCTAAGCTCACAAAGAGCTCTTTATGTGCTCGACATAGGCCATGGAGGAGACAGGGAGGAGATGGGCCCTTGTGTGGTCTTGACTCCCTAAAGGGCAGCAGGAGGCTTCAAAGCTGCACATCCCAGCCCTGAGGTCCCCTCTCTGTGCCCTCATGTCACATTCCCCTGGGTGGTGGCTTGTCCCAATGCTTAGAGGTCAGAAGAAGAATCAGGAGGGGACAGGTTTTCCTTTTCTCTTCACCTTCCTCTGAAGCAGCCAAGGCTGGACGGTATCAGAGGCAGGACAGTGGGCAGAGTCCTGATTTCCCCTTAAACCCTGGTGCAGCGATTCAGGTCTGTCTCCCTTTTGGGGCCAGCTGCAGATGCTCTGTTAACCAGCTGCTTCCAACCAAAAGGGACCTTAATGCAAAAGTCAGGGGCATCAACACTACAGCCTCACCTTGACAGTTCCCATGTGCAGCCTCAGCCCACAACATTAGCAAAACCAATTGCTCAGAAGACACCTTTCCCTCCCTGCCGTCTCTCAGCATCATCCCCAACTGCTAACGTTTGCAGTAGCCCACTTGTCACATACCTTCATGTACGGCCACAGCTCTGTACTGTGCCATGGCCACTGCCACAACAAGGATCTGGGCGTACAGCATTTTCCTCCTCTTTGAGAAGAGACTCCTCCTCAGCTCCTGGAGTCAGCACGCAGCCTGGAGAGCCATTCATCTGCCAGAAAAAAGGGGCTTTAATGCATGTCATCCCAGCGGATGCTTCTGCC